ATGTCAGTTGTCCAATTTGCCAAAGAACTAATACAACTGATAAGAGACCAGTTCATTGATTATGTTATGAGTTATTGAATGAAGTCAGAAAAAAATCATATATTTGAATGAAAACCTAAAATGTCTTAGAATAAAGGAATAAAAGAAAACAATTGAGTGGTGCAGAGAACATTTTCACAACTGGAAGAATACAGAAAAAGCATTAGAATCCTTTCCAATACAACTACCATTTAGATAATCAATGTAGTTTCCAAAGAAGAAAATTACCCTACCTATGAATCAAGTGACCAGGGCTGGGGTTGTACCTCAGTGATAGAGTGCTTGCCTACCACATGTAAGGCACTGGGTTTGATCCTCAGCACCACATAAAAATTTTAAAAAATATAAAGGTATTGTGTCTATCTACAACTAAAATATAAATATATTTTTTAATATTTTTAATATTTATTTTTTTTTAGTTTTCGGTGGACACAACATCTTTGTTTGTATATGGTGGTGAGGATCGAACCTGGGCCACACGCATGCCAGGTGAGCACGCTACCACTTGAGCCACATCCTCAGCCCTAAAATATAAATATTAAAAATAAAAAAATAAAATAAAATAAAGACATGTGTCTATCTACAACTTAAAAAAAAAAAAGGAAAGAAAAAAGAAAAAGAAATCAAGTAACCAAATGAAGAGCTGTATTTTCATTTGGAATTAGATTAACGACTTTATTATTAAATTAAAGTGCAAAGTACCATAAGCTTTGGAAGAATTTCAGTATTGGCACAGGATTTAAACGTCAAAATTCTTTCAGAAAATTTCTCTGGAAATTAGAAAATAGTATGCATAGACTCTCTTCAAGGGTGGGCCAGGAAAGAATCTCTTGGTTCTAAGATCAAAGACAGATAGTGGTGCTGGATGGACGGATGGTCCCAGTTTCCCAGCCTCTCCCAGTGCCTAGAAAACTGCTCAAGTTTTCCTTTTTGGGCAAAATTGGATGAATATTATGCTCTATTTCAGCTCTTTTTAATTTCGATTTTTTTTTTAAGTTGGACACAAATCTTTATTTATTTATTTTTATGTGGTGCTGAGGATCGAACCTGCTGCAGTCTGGCTAGGCCCAAAATCACGAGCCACTCAAGCAGGAACAAACTTTATTTTTTTTAAACTGCCGCCAATGCCTCGTTCACCCCGGGAAGAATCTCGGAACCCCAAAGGAAGTTCCTCCTCTGGAATTCCCTCCTACTGTACTTCCCCAACCAATGGGAACTCTCCAGGAGTCCCGTAGCAGGCCCAGGTGAACAGCAGGAGTCCAATATCCATATGAATGCAAATCTTAACATAATCATATCATCTCAATGGCTAGCTGGCGTCACCTTTCAACTAAAAATGCCATGCATCATATTACTTGGCTGTGGCTCTTAGCATTTCCCCCCTTCTGTTTAATTAAGCAACAAGCAATGTGGCTAGGGACCGTTCCTGTTAGGTTTGTCCAATTCAACATATGGTTCTTACCCATCATTGGAAAACTGACCTCTAGGCGTTAGCCTCCTGTCTTAGGTTGATACTACTGCAATTGGATCATACCCGTCACTGACTACGGGTCCAGCATATAGCCATACCTGTGGATAGGGCTATGCACCAGGGGGGTGCTGAGGTTCTTTGCCTCACCTCTGTTGGCCCCCAAATTTGGCCTTGGTGCCGGTGGGGGGCTGAGGTTCTTTGCCTCACCTCTGTTTGCCCCCAAAATTAGACCATCACTAGTAGAAGGGAGGAGGATACAGAAATGCCACGACACTAAGTCAATTGACGGCTCTTTAGGAAAAATTGCAACACTGGTGACACATCAGCAAAGCACTACCATAATTCGCTGCATCAACAGATACAGCACAATGCATACAAGTGATACATAGTCCAGGCAAGTTTTGTAAGCAGTTCAAAGCGGAGGAATCTATCAACATGTCCATTTCCTCCCAAAATAAATCGACTCAGTAATTAACCATTACTTGTTGAGTTATTATTCATTGATGCACCAGTTTATACAGTTTGTTGTGATAACTATCGAAGAAACTGTAGTTTGGTTTCATCTTGTCTTCACCGGCACTGGCATGAAGATAGGAATTCTGACAATGATGCTAAAAAAAAAAATTATGTAACATTCCAACAGGTACTAAGAAAACAATTTTTTGAACAATTTACATTATCCTGAACAGAATTATTAAACATAATGAAAAGGAAAGGTGAAAGTAAACAAACAGATCTGTTAACCTGCTTATTTGTACACATATTAAAACAATCCTCAACAGCTGTTTACTCAATTTAAATTAAACCATTAAAATCACGTGAATAATAAAAAAAATTCGGATCCATTTATTCATGAGTGTTCCTCATATATGATATATGGACATACGCACATACAGACATACAACACAAAACAGAAGTGTGCACATGTAATATACAACACATAAGACAATAGTAAAGGCCTTGTAGCTTTACCTAGGTGAAATCTCCATTGCAATGTTTAAAAACTCCATAGTCAAAAAATAAAACTGATCAGAAAAACATTAACCTAGGTCTGTATGAGCTCAAAAATAAAATAGAACTTTATGATGTGGGAAAAACCAATAATAAAATAGATATTGAAAAAAGCATCCTGGTTAATCACTGTCACAGATGTAAGAATAGCCAAGCTGGAGTTCTGGATATGTGCTAGGCGAGGGCTCTACCGCTGAGCCACAACCCCAGCCCCTAATTTTGATTTTTTTATTAATTTATTTTTGGTAAGCCATATCCCCAGCTTTTTTTTTTTTTTGAGATAGGGTCTCAGTAAGTTATTTAGGGCCTCCCTAAGTTGCTAAGGCCGGCTTTGAACTTGTAATCGTCCTGCCTCAGCCTCCTGAGCAGTTGGGATTACATGTGTGCTCTACCACCTACCATGCCTGTTTGTTTTATTTACTTTTATGTGGTGCTGGGGATGGAACCTAGTGCCTCACATGTAAAAGGCAAGCACTCGACTGCTGAGCAATAACCCTAGTCCCTATTCAGTTGTTTTTTTAAGGGTCTAAAGTTATGCTATAGTTGCTTCCACAGAACAAAATGGAATTATATCTAGCACTTTTTAATTTTTGATAATTTTTAAAAATTAAGTAAAATGTTTTTTTAAAACAGTACATAAATTTTCTCTATATATTTTTAGTACTGGGGATTGAACCACCAAGTTATATCCCCAGTCTTTTTATATTTTATTTTGAGACAGGGTCTTGCTAAATTGCTTAGGGCCTCACTAAATTTCTGAGGCTGGTGTTGAACTTGTGATCCTCCTGCCTCAGTGTCCTAGGTCAATGGGATTACATGTGTGTGCCACTGCACCTGCTAAGTTTTCATATTTTCAAAATCAGTTGTTGACCTTTATATGACCTTTGCCAGAGAAATTTTATCATGTATTTTTAGTTTTAAATGATTTTACTTTAAAATTGTCAGTATTTTAATGTAGAATTTGACATTTTAATGTGTGTAATATATTTTTTTTAGTTGTTGATGTACCTTTATTTTTTATGTAATCATTTGTATGCTGTGCTGAGAATTGAACCCAGTGCCTCATGCATGCTAGGCAAGCACTCTACCACTGAGCTGCAATCCCAGCCTTAATGTTTGTTTTTTATTTTTTTGTAGAAAAAAATTTTTAAATACTTGTTTGTTTATTCTTAGTCTTTGTCCTAGAGACTGTAAGATGATTTGGAAAAGTAACTGGATATTGGTTTCAGAAATAGAAAAAAGCTGGTCGACCCTCTGATTATTAAGAACATATATTTCAAAGCTGGCAGCCTTGGATCACAGGACACATGGGCTGGAGCAGTAAGCCTCAATGTGGAATGTATGGCCACTAGAACTCAAAGAGGGGGCTGGGGATATGGCTAAAGCAGTAGCACGCTTGTCTGGCATGCGTGCGGCCCGGGTTCTATCCTCAGCACCACATACAAACAAAGATGTTGTGTCCGCTGAAAACTAAAAAATAAATATTAAAAAATTCTCTTTCTCTCTCTCACTCTCTCTTAAAAAAAAAAAAAAAACTCAAAGAGGCCTACAAAGCACTGCTTCCTTCTTTGTGGAAGAGGATATAAGAAACAGCAATTCAACTTACTTTGGGGGGCATGTCCTTGCACACCCTGATCATTAGACTCCTAAAAACTTTATTGAAATGGCAAGTCCTTGAATCATCATTGGATTTGTCTTCTTCCTAACTTCAGTGATGAAAATGAATTATCAAGACCACCCATATACCTCCTTTTAATGCTGCCTGGTGAGTACAATGCCATCATTATGATAGATCCATGTGATGTTCTACAGGATGTTCAGAAGATCCAAATCTCCTAGGAAAACAAAGCCAGTTCATACATTCCTGAGGTGAAACTAAGTCCATCTGGCTTTTTTTGTTTGTTTGTTTTAAAAAAGAAGGAACGCTTTATTTGGGGCTCACAGTTTCAGTGGTCTCAATCCATGGTCAGTTAACTCTACTCCTCTGCATACAAGTAGAGGCAAAACATCCTGGCAGAAAGGAGTCATGAGGGAAAACTGCTCAGCTCATGATGGCCAGAAAGGGTTGCAGAGGTTTCAGTCTACAGACAGACAGCTTCATTCACCAGGGCTCCAGATGAGGCTGAATATCATGGTGAGAGAGTGTGGCAGAGGGAAGCAGCTCACAGGATGATCAGAAAGCACAGAACACATCTGGCTTCTTATCTTTCATGACCAAGTAGAAAAGTACACATTCACCAAATCAATGGTTGAATACCATGTTCCAGGAGCCTCCTAATATGCCTCGCTAAAAAGATGCCACATGGGCACAAGAGCTGCCATGAGAGTAGCTGCTTGATTCAGCTGGCAGTTGTCTGCAGTTGTTCTCCAGGGTTTACCCAGTTTTGACAGGGACTAGATTAGTGAATTTTAAATGGATATATGGTAGGTAAAAGCAAATGAAAGAGAATACAGAAAGTAAAAGAAATGGAGGCAGACCTCAACAGATCAGAAATGCTTTATTAAGCAGCAGAGGGGCACATTTTCAAGAGGGAAAATGGAAATGGGCTCTAATAAGGATCTGAGTTTTATAGGGTTTAGAGGGGCTGAGTCTTATTAGGAAATATGTTGGTTATAGCTGGAGGAAGATCTTGGGCAGTCAGGAAACAGTCGTAGATAAAGTCCATTACTCTCCCTTTCTCCTAGGGGTTTGTTATTTCCATATTCTTCAGTAGAGACCAACCTCTCCATCTTTGGAATCCTCAAGGGTGATCTCATCCTCACCATCTCCAACATGCAGTTTGATTTCCATTTACTGTCTTGGCTAGGGGAGTCGCCCAGTTGAGAAAGCTCTGTTAAACTAAGACACTGATTGGAAAAACCTAGGACATGTATATAGGAGTATGTGATGAATGTCTTTAAATATCTTAATGCTAATATTTTTAAACTATTAAGTCTTGAGTTTGGTCTCAGGCCTTCTATTTTATTTTTTTTAAATCTAACTCAGGTGATAAGGTGCTCAATTAGTTGTCACTTGTTTGTTATTATGCTCAACTTCTCCTTTCCCTTCTGTAGGTGCCATTACAATTTAGTAAAAAACAATCAATGCCATTGCCCTATAACTTGTTCCCTGAATTTTTCATACTCAAATTACTGCAACAGCCATGGCAGTATGGTCTTCCCCACAGGAACACTCTCCCTAGTCACTACACATAGTTTTAGCTATAGACCCCATTTTACATAGGGGTCTATTCATGCCCCACAACCTATTCAGAATGATCACCTATTCTAGTGATCAGCCAGGCAGAAAGTGATCCAGCTCCAAACTCATCTTACCACCTGCCCTGTTGGATCATTCTTGGAATCATCTATGTTGGATCCTCTGGGAAGCAGGACTCAGAGTTTGAGGTGCAATTAATTTCTTAAATGGGGAGTGGGAATGGTAATACCTGTGAAATACAAGGAAGGAATGTATATGGGCAGGAGAAATCTTGAGGTTGTGATGCAGATCTAACAGCTTTAAAAAAAAAAAAGAGAGAGAGAGAGAGAGGAAGAAGGGCTGTTAAAGAAAGCTTCCAGCTATGATGCAGAGCCAACAGAATAGAATCTCAACTAACTCAATAGGGAGCTCCAGAACAACATCACCTGTTAGAGAATTTCCCCACTGGGTAGAGATGGCCAGGCTCTTGGATGTGCTCATTCAATTGGCTAGGTGAAACAAGAGCCAAAGACAATCTGAAGGCATTACCAGGTCAACTAACTGCCCTCTTGGCAGCAGAGCGGCAACCTCTTTCTGGAAGGGAAATCCAAGGGAGATCTTCATAATTGCCATTTGGGGGCCTTGGGGTTCATTTGCTCCCTATACATACTTTTAACCAAAAAAAAAATGATTTTTTGAATCAGTTGCCTATTTAATCTATTTTTCCCTTGACATTGACAACTAAGGGCGTATAACCACTGAGCTACATCCCCCCACCCTTTATTTTTCTTTCTTAATTCTCAGTCAGGGTCTCGCTAAATTGCCCTGGTTGACCTCAAACTTGTGATACCTTTGCCTAAGCTTTCCAAGTAGCTGCAATGCATGTGTTGCTGTGTCTGACTCATAGTGAGATATCTTAAAAGAAAAGTTAAAAAAAATGTACAGTTTTTAGTAAACATGGTTCTAGTAATTGTAGTGAGCTTATTTAGAAGCTGTTACATATTAGAATAAATCAAATAAGTAATTAATTAATGTTATTGGTATATAAGAACCTTGAACCAAGGCACGGTGGTGCACACCTGTAATCTCAGCAACCGGCAGGAGGAAAGAGGCTGAAGCAGAAGGCAAGTTCAAAGCCAGCCTCAGCAACTTAGGAGGCCCTAAGCAACTTAATGAGACCCTGTCTCAAAAAATAAGAGAAGGCTGGGGGTATGGCTCAGTGTTAAGCCATCTGAGTTCAATTCCAAAAAACAAACAAACAAACAAACAACAACGACAACAAAACACCCTTGAAAGTTACTATATTATAGATGGTCAAGAAAATAAAGAGTTGGGGTTATAGCTCAGTAGTAGAGTGCTTGCCTAGCATGCTTATGTACTGGGTTCAATCCCCAGTACTCCCCTCCAAAAGAAGAAAATAAATTTTAAGTAATGATATAAGGGGGAATGATTCAAATCAGAAGTTGGATATGGTGGCATAAACCTGTAATTCCAGCTACTCAGGAGGTCAAGGCAGAAGGATGACAAGTTTGAGGCCAGCCTGGGCAACTTAACAAGACCCTGTCTCAAAATAAAACGAAAAGGGATGGGGATGTAGCTCAGTGATAGTGTTTGCCTACCATATTGAGGCCCTCAGTTCAATTCCTAGCAGTGTGTGTATGGGATTCAAATCAGAATTCTGAAGATGAAAAAAAAATGTACTGAAAGGAATTACAAGTAGATTAGACCCTAAAGAAAAAAGATTAGTGCTGGGTACAGTGGCACACACCTGTAATCCCAGAAGGTTGAGGTAGGAGGATCTCAAGTTCAAACCCAGCCTCAACAACTTAATGAGGCCCATCTCTAAATAAAATATATAAAAAAGGGCTGGGGATGGGCTGCGGATGTGGCTCAGGCGGTAGCGCGCTCGCCTGGCATGCGTGCGGCCCGGGTTCTATCCTCAGCACCACATACAAACAGAGATGTTGTGACGCCGATGACTAAAGAATAAATGTTGAAAAAGGTTCTCTCTCTCTCTCCTCTCTCTCACTCTCTCTTTAAAAAAAAAAAAAAAAAAAAAAGGGGCTGAGGATATGGCTGGGGATTGTTAAGCATCCCTTAGTTCAACCCCTGGTTAAAAAAAAAAAAAAAAGTTTGCAAAACTTCAACAATGAGATTTTAAAGGTCATTTTATTTTTGTAATAGCAAACTACTTTCAACATAAAACAGTGCAAAAAATAATTTTAATGTATATTTTAAAATAAATTTTATCAGGGCTGAGATTGAGGCTCAGGGGAAGAGTGCTTGTGCTCAAATGCATGAGGCACTGGGTTCGATCCTCAGCACCACATTAAAAAATAAAACAAAGATATTGTGTCCACCTATAACTAAAAAAAATAAATAAATGTTCAAAAAATAAATTTTATTTGTATGTGAAGTACTTAAAATATATACTTAAATCTAAATATAAAATATGTAGATACATAAAATTATATCTATAAAGAAATATTGATTAGAAATTACATAATATTAGGGGGCTGGGGTTGTAGCTCACTGGAAGAGCACCAGTGAGGCACTGGGTTTGATCCTCAGCACCACATAATAATAAATTATGTCCATCTACAACCAAAAAAACATTTTTTAAAGAAATTACATAATATTAAAACATTTTTGTATAACATAATATATATATATAATGTATACATATATACGCGCGCACACACACACACACACACACACACTTGTTATTTTATTTTATTTATTTATTTTTTGCAGTTCTGGGGATTGAATCTAGGGGCACTCTTCATTTGAATTACATCCCCGTGCATTTCTGTTTTTGTTTTTTTGAGACAGTGTCTTGCTAAATTATTGAGGCTGTTTTATGGGGGGTTTGTTTGGGTACTTGTTGGGGCACTTGACCACTGAGTCACATCCCCAGCCCTATTTTGTATTTTATTTAGAGACAGGGTCTCACTGAGTTGCTTAGTGCCTTGCTTTTGCTGAGGCTGGCTTTGAACTCGTGATCCTTCTGCCTCAGCCTCCTCAGACACTGGGATTACAGGTATCACCACTACACCTGGCTTGAGATTGGTTTTGAATATACAATCCTTCTGCACCAGCCTCCCAAGTTGTTAGTATTATAAACATGCACCACTGCACTCAGATATATACATTAATTTTATTTGACTTGTCACTGAGGTAAAACACATATAACAATATTTACTATGTTAAACTTCTTTTGGTGGAGGGTACCAGGGATTGAACTCAGGGCACTGGCCCACATCCCCAGCCCTATTTTGTATTTGCTTAGTGCCTCACTTTTGCTGAGGCTGGCTTTTGAACTCAAGATCCTCCTGCCTCCGCCTCCAGAGCCGCTGGGATTACAGACATGTGCCACCGTGCCCAGTTTATGTTAACGATTTTTAAGTGTACAGTTCAGTTGAGTATACTCATATTGTTATGCAACCAATCTCCAGAACTATGAATTTTGCAAAAGTAAAACTTATACTCATTAAATAACTCTCCTTTTTTTCTTTTCTTTTGGCAGTACTGGGGACTGAACCCTATAGGGCTCTACCACTGAGTTATATCCCCAGAGACTTTTTTTTCCCCCAGTTGTAGTTTAATTGGAAACAATACATTTATCTATCTATTTATTTATTTTTATGTGGTGCTGACAATCGAATCCAGTGCTTTGTATGTGCTAGGTGAGTGCTCTACTACTGAGCCACAACCCTAGCCCCCTTTTTATTTTTTATTTTGAGACAGGGTCTCACTAAGTTACCAAAGCTGGCCTCAAACTTTTGATTCTCCTGTCTCAACCTCCCAAGTCACAGATTTACAGTCACTCATCATCATGACATTTCTGACTCCCTTGGCTCCTGGAAATCACTCTATGTGGTTTCCATGTCTATGAATTTGACTATTCTAAGTATCTCATATAATTAGAAAAAGATAGTACTTGACTTTTTCATGACTGGTTTATTTCACTTAGCACAATGTCCTTGAAGTCCTTGTAGCATGTGGCAAAATTTATTTTCTTTTTAAAGCTAAATAATATTCCATTGTATGTGTATACTACATTTTAGTCACTCACTCATCCATCTATTGATACTTTAATAACTTCCACTTTTAGCTACTGTTAATAACACTGCTATGAACATGGGTATGCAAATATTGCTTCCAGAGCTTGCTTTCAATTCTTTCAGGCATATATTTAGAAGTAGAATTGTTCATAGTTCTACTTTTAATTTATTTTATTTTATATTTATTTATTTGTTTGTTTTTGTAGTGCTGGGGTTAGAATACAGGGCCTCACAGCATGCTAGGCAAGTGCTCTCACTAAGCTGCATCTCCAGCCCTCTATTTTTATTTATTTATTTTTTGACCACTGAGCCACATCCCCAGCCCTTTTTTCCCTATTCTTAACTGAAATGTAGCTTTGGGCTTTTTTTTTTTTTTTTGGGTGCTGGGGATTGAACCCAGAGCCTATGTGCATGCAAGGTAAGCACTCTACCAACTGAGCTATATCCTCAGCCCATCTTTGGCTTTGAGAATTATGTTCTATAAGTTTTTTCTCAGTATATAGAAAGTATATAGTATCTCAATGTAAGAACATTTATTTTATGTATTACAATTTTTACCAGCATGGATGTTGAATTTTATTGTGTCTTTTTAGCAATATTTGGAGATTAACATGATTTTTCTCCTTCAACATAAAAGATTTCCTAATCACTACATATTCATCATAAAAAAAACTTGGTCACAGTGGTTATTTTTCTAATGTGTTACCAAATTCTATTGGTAATGTGAAGTTTTACTCCCATCAGCAGAGTACAGAATTATAGAGCTTAGCTTTATAATATTCCTCAATATAGACTGTGGCATCACACTGCAACACCACATGGTGGCATTTTATATTATTCTTCAACATACACTGTGGAATGTACCCTTTTTTTTCCAGGAAAAAAAAAAAGTCATTTCAAGCCTGATCAGTGTCATTCTTGCAAATAGGCCTTTGGTCGTCTGACTTACAGAATTTAGAGTACCTGAAGCAGGGGTTCATTCTTTTTTTCCTTAATAATGATTTCTTTCTTTTTTATTTTATTTTTTAGTTGGACACAATACCTTTATTTTATTTATTTATTTATTTATATGTGGTGCTGAGGATTGAAACCAGGGTCTCACATGTGCTAGGTGAGCGCTCTACCTCTGAGCCCCAGCCCCAGCCCCAGCAGGATTTCATTCTTGATAGCTAGAAGTGGTGAGAGCAGATCTCCTTTACCATTAAGTATGATGTTAGCTCTTAGTTTTTCACAGATGCTTTTCATCAGATTGAGGAAGTTCCCTTCTATTTCACGGTTATTTTGGTAAATGGATATTGGATTTTTCAAGTTCTTTTTCTGCATGCATCTAATAAGATGATCACATATGTCTTCTCCTTTTGTCTCTTAACATGGTGAATCAGATGCACTGTGGTTTGTTTGGCTTCCCCACCACCACCCTGGGATTTAATCCAGGGGCACTTAACCACTGAACCATATTCCCAGCCCTTTTTAGTTTTTATTTTGAGACAAGCTCTTGCTAAGTTACTTAGGGCCTTGCTAAGTTGTTGAGGTTGGCTTTGAACTTGCATTGCCTCTGCCTCAAGTTGCTGGGATTACAGGCATGCACCACCATGTGTGGTGCATTGTGTTTTGAATATGAAACCAAACTTGCATTCCGGGGTGAACTACACTTAGCTTATATTTTAAAACAACCCTAAGCTCAGAAAAGTATGTCACAGATGGTTCTCATGGGTTGATAAACTCAATTATATGAACGTATCCATAAAGAGAGTTCTGTGTGAATATGGGGCTGGGGATGTAGTTCAGAGGTAGAGAGCTTGGCTAGCATGCACAAGTCCTGGGTTCAATTGGCAGTTGCATGAAAAAAAAAAAAAAGAAAAGAAAAGAAAGATGAAGAAAGTAAAAGAAAAATCTGAGAACTGGGCATGATAGCACACAGGAGACTGAGGAGGCAAGAGGATTGCAAATTCAAGGCCAGCCTCAGAGGTTTAATAAAAAATAAAAAAAATAAAAATAAAAATGGTCAGGCATGTAACTCAGCAGTAGAGCATTGGCTTGGCATGTGTAGCACTGGGAATTGAACCCAGAGCCACAAAAAAGAAAAAAAAATCTGTATGAGTACAGTCTTGATAAATTTTCTCCAAAGAAAGCTACTAACTATCCCTTTCATCCTTGTAGGTACATGCTACTTCTTCTGTGGAGAGTTAAAATCATTTCCCCTCTCCTTAAATCTGAACTAGCCTCATGACTGCTTTAACTAACAGAATGTGGCAGAAGTAAAGCCGTGCCAGATCCAGGTTAAGTCTTTAAGAAGCCTGGCAGCTTTGTTTTCATTCTTTTAAAAACAAGTCACCATGTAAAGAAGCTCAGTGGCAGAGTACCCCAGAATGGGTTCAATCCCCAGTACTCGGCGG